GTCGATTTTGAATTCACTCTGTGACCCCCAGGAAGTAAAAAGTAATCATCACCAAAGACGTAAACGAATAGTCTATGTTTGTTTTCAATTGTTAAAACAAAAAATTGCATTTAAAATAATCTCGGAAGCTAGAGGAGCAAAATTTGTATACGTGCGCTTTTGCCTCTTTTTTTCATCTTACCGAAACACGCGTTTCTCTACGGCTGTCATTTGAATATTCCTCAATTAAATTGTTAAAATCTTCGTTATTCTGGAGGTTTAGACCCTCCAGGTAACTTCTACACCTTTGGTTCTTGCTTTTAATGATTTTCATTTTTACCGTGAATGTCCCGTTTCTGTAATGGGCTCGTCCCAATGTGCGCCGCGCCGCGCCGAGGGCTTCTCCTTTTCATCTGAAGTCCTCAGCATCATAGCTCTCTGCGCCTCGCCGTTCCAGGCCAAATTGCGCGTTTGATTTCTCTCTTAACTCGACTAATTAAAGGTGCTGTCTCTCACCGAAAGATGACAAAATTAGAATCTACTATACGCTCAGGAAATGAGAGATTTTATTGCCTTTTCTCGTTCGTAATTTGTTTTCTGAATCAGAATTTTTTTAATACCTATATTTAACAAAATGTAAAATTTGCCGCCATGGGCCGCGGCCCATGTGGCCACCCCCTAAATCTGGCCCTGCCAAGACATGTAACCAAACATTGGAGGTAAACAATACATATGTTTCAATGAATTTATGTCACTTGAGCCAATAGTTTAAGTAAGACGAAAAACAAAAGAATAATACGAAAAGCAACTCTTAAGTGCATTTATTTTGGTGGTGCCTCGGTGAATTGCTTCTTCGCTGCCGACTGAAAGGAAAAGTGGGCTTCAGCGTTATTTCACGCTATCCGTTCTTAACTTTTAATACGTTTATTTTCAGGCAATCATAGAATAGTTTTCATGCTGTATAAACATCGAGCAGAGATGTGGTTTGACGATTGGTTTCCAGCTAAAATTCCCGCCAAGTAAGTCCAAAATATACATTTTGGGAGTGAAATATATGGTATGCACAAGAGAGTCGTCCTTTCATAGGAATTCCTCGTTGAAGTACTTTCTCCAAAGTAATGATGCATCGGCTACTAAAGAGGCTTTGATGAAAAAGCATACTTAATGATCCAAAAACAAGGTATTCTCTCTTCATTTGATAGTGGGTAGATCCTAACACTCATTTTCTGTCATGAATTCGGCTGAGTGGAAAGTCTACTTCTGTCCTTCAAACTACGCACGGATTTATGAGGATTGAAAATAAGTACTTCAACATTTAATTCTTCAAAATATATTTTTAAAAAATCAAGAGAGAAAAAGAAATTAATTGAATCAATGATATGGAACCCTCTTGCCAAGAGCCCAATCATACTGATTCAAAACATAGGAATGACCGTTGAATAATCTCAGTGAACGTGATGGAAAAATAGTATCCTATTAAATACAAATAAGTCCAGAACGCGAAATCAAAGTGCATATAATGTCATAATGACGTCTGTGTATGGTCTACCTTTGATGTTTTTTTTATCAACGCAGGTATAGAACAATAAGCAGAGATATATATCGTATGTTTTGTTTTTAAATCAGTATACACCTCGATACTGATTGAAGACACCAATGAAGGAGAGGATTAATCAATCGGTAAATTAGAAAAGTTTAGGTAAACCTCTGCGAAATTTTAGTGAAAAAAAGAGTCAACACCTCAATTTTTAGATATTTTTAAAATGTTAACAGAAATTTGACAAATATACACATCGCTCCTCATTTTGTTGATACAGTAGACATTTTATTCAAAAAACGGCCGGTGGCTGTAGTTGCCAGCCGAAGGACTTGCTGGGGGAAAAATCTCGGTTGATCTTCTCTTCCAATTTTATCTATAATCGAAATACGTATCTTATCATTGATTTGCTCCTTAAAGCAGGTGTTAGAAATTATCGCGAGTTCAGTTTATTTTTCCACCTCTTGATTTCTTCAATGCTTGGCCATGAATTTTAATTTCTCGAATTTCTTTTTGCAGCATCGAAGACAAAAGACGACGCAATTTTAAATCGAAAAATTTCGCTATGAAGTATTACTTGACTCCGATTGGAGTTAACTTTTTCCGAACTAGTTATGAGGCTTGGGATGGCTCTTGAGGAATGAGGAAGCACATGCAAGCTAGAAACTAGGTTAATCTATGTATATGTTGTACATAATTATACCTCGTAAGAATCGAAGTTTTTTCTTTCATACATCTGTACCTACATCGACGGTGAACCTCCCAAACTACGTAACTCGTTTGTAGTGTTTAGAAATCTCCGCTCCCATTTTCTTCTTTCACCAAGAGCGAATCAACATCATTTCGTGAAGTTTCCCCAAAGAATTTTCTTCACACAGATCAGAAAAATCACAGGGATTTTTAAGAATGAACGTTAATTGAGTAATTTTCCTTTTAATTAATAAAGTATGGCAGGAAGTCTGCAACGTCGCAAACCGAAATACGTCTACCAAGAGTTTCACCGTCTACATATGCTCTATGATGTGATACAATGGGTATACGTCCATGTAATATATCGACGCCGCGTGTAGGTCCGGAATCACATATCTCGTTTGCGGTGTCTGAAAATCTGCGCCTGTATGTTATTTGTTTAAAGAAGAACAAATTAACATCATTCCTTGAAGTTTTTGTAGAATTTTTTTCGCACAAAGAAGAAAAATAACGGCAGTTTTAAAGAATTGCCGTCAGGCAGTTTTCCGTTTCAAATATAAAGTATGACAGGAAGTATGCGACGTAACAAACCGAGTTATGTGATTGCCGACTTACACCGTCGATACATAAATCTTTTATAAAACTCTACACTTTAAGTAAATTTTACTATTAAATTAAATTATATATTTATATATATTTATTATATTAAATTAAATTTTACTATGTTCAGTAAAGTTCCTAAAAGTTATAATGTAAGATTAAATGAATTGTAAAAACCACCAAAAATGTGTATGATACTTAATGTCATCCTTGCTAGAAATCTAATATTCAGTGATATAAAATGTTAATTATAAATGATAAATTTTTGATTAAAGGAATTCTGGACGTTGCCTTGAAAATAACTTTTAAAAGTTCATTTCATTCCAGGAACTTTGGTCTTTGGCCATGGTTTTGAAAGGACCTTATACAAGCAGTCGTATCGTGCTCCTAATTAATCTCTGACTTCTTCATCTAAAGTTGTATAGAGGTATTGACTTCAAACTTCCTCGGTGACTCACAAACAGTTTTGAGGAACAAAAAAGGGAATCATAATTCAGAATTGTCTACAATATTTGATACGGCATCTTAATGATTTGATAAGGCGATGTGTGTGGTACAGTTCTGACATTCATTCACAAAATAAGAGCACACTGTTTCGATCTCGCTGACTGTGAAGTGTGAATGGAGGCAACCATGTCCGAAGCTTCACGCCGTATTTTGAGTCATATTGCATTGAAACTTTCTACCACAAAAAATAATTATGTGATAGAGCTTTATGACAGTAGCATAACCACTACCTGCAGAAAAGTATAAAGAGGCGGTAAAATGAAGTGTGAAGCGAATTTCCGAAAATAGTAAATTTTAAGTTTCTCAAGTTCTGCAAGAGTAGTCACATTTCTTCGGTTCAGAATGTTTGTTAAAATTATCGAGTATATATTTCGTCAAATCTGTATAGTTTCCTTGTGCTACACAAAGAACTCAGCAAGGATGGAGAAAATTTCAGCAGAGACAGAAATGACCTCCGTCTTGTTTGAAGCAATATTGATAGATAATGGTATAATTCCCGAAGTTTTACACGACCCCCCAAAGTATGTATTACATGTAAGTTTAAAAACATCTTATTTGCCTTATTTTATTAAATTTGCATGAAATTACTTTTGTATACACAAATTTTACATAGCAGCTCGTGTCACTGGTAACATGAAAAAACATGGGGAGGGGAGGGGGCGAAAAACAAGGCTAAAAGTACGTATTAAAACCCGAGACGTTTCGGCTCAGAAATTATCACATTTGGTTTTTTCTCCGACCGAAAATGGCTCAGCTCTAAGCCGAAACTTCTCGGGTTTTATTATGTATGTTTAGCCTTGTTTCCTGTTTCCCCTCCCTCTTTTTTTTCATGTTGTCGTTATAGTCTCTGTGTCAATTTAATATTTTGGATTTTACTCGCGCAAATTCCTGCACATTGAAGGTATGTACACTGTACAGCAGTCTTGGATATCAAAATTGATTGCCAAGCCCACACAGAATGAATCGTTTACACTCAGAAATCTCGAGCTCCGGAGTTTATTTTAATCCGGAGTCTATTTTGTCTCCTAAAAACTCTAGAAAAATGATCATATACTGAGTGAAATCCACCTTGTAAAATCAGAGCTAACCCTACAAAAGCACTTGATTCTACTCCGCAAGAACGGAATTCTCCCCGGAAAATGAGTGGATTTAACTCCCCATTCATATCAATCCGGTAGTTCGGATGCAAAGTGCACCGCAGTGAGGTGCATTATACGGATGTAACTCCGAGATTTTTGGCAATGCAGGCCAAATGCAAAGTAATTGACCCTCTGATTCGAAATTGCCCTTTCGGGCTCGTGTTGTGCACTCAAAACAGCCTTAGAGTTTTAAATATTTAACAGAATTGTTTTTAATCAAATTGGTATTTCTCTAAGCGAGTAGACCGTTATTTCTAGGTAAGTAATTCATGCACCTATTAGCGGCAAATGTTCGTGGACTTTTACAACGTTCTCAGCCAAAAATTTCCGTGCAATCGTACTTGATCAATACTTTGAAAAAAGGCGTTTTTCGGTTGTTTTCACTACTCTCGTTAAAATCACCAATTTCCTTTTTCAAAATCCATTTTTATCTCTAATATTGCAGGTTACGTACCCACCAAATTTGGAAGTTGACTTTGGTACGATGTTGTTACCTAAAGACGTAGCTGTTCGACCAAAGATACGGGATTGGTACACAGAAACGGGCTCTTATTACGTTCTTGTTATAACAGGTTAGAAAGTAGTCTGCTGCAATTTGAAAACTGGAATCTATAATCCTTAGAATAATCAGTAATTCTCAAAATCCTTAATATCTGATTCAGTATACACCTAAAAATTAAATTACTAATCGCTGCAACTCAGAAACTTTTTAAGTACAGAGAACTCATGAATTCGATACACAGTTTATTCAGATGCACTGGCCAACTAACAATTAAAAAAGAAATCAATGATTCCTTTCATGCGATTTTCTTCTCTTTGCAACTCACACGATTGAGGTCGCCAATGATTTGAAATAAAAAGTATACAATTCTCGGAAAAGTATATGGACACACGAAAAAGGCAAAATCCAGATTACACATGAGCCATACCTTACGTCATCAACGACGGAAGCCAGGAATTATGAGTTCTTGGACCTCCGTCACTAGTCCCGTTCTCAAAATCAGCTGGTAGTATATTCTCGGACCTCAAAAGTGCATCGAAACCTCTAGGCTACGGGGCATCAATGAAATTTTGCCGTAAAAATGAAAACGCTGACTTTTGTAAAGGGTTGATGATCGATGAATGATTTCGAGAGCTTTAAAAACGCACCTCCGTTCTTGCCCCAAAATTAGGAATGGACGAGCCATGGTGTGAGAACTCGACGCAATTTATGTACCTGTACTGGTGTATTGGCAACATCCCCGAAACCAACATTTCAGCGGGTCATGTATACGCTCCGTACCTCGGTCCAAGACCGCGCAAAGACACCGGTTAGTCATTTTTGGTTGATATAAACATTTCATTAGATCATTTGAAGGGAATGCACATATATATAGCTCGATGCATGAAGAGTGAAGATCAAACTGGAAGCACTCATTAAAGCATTGAAGCAGTAATCGTCACATTGTTTTATTAGCTTAATCACGTAAAAAATCTTCACGTGCGTGACTTTGGTACATATTTTCAAGATTTGTTCTTTCCTATCTTCAATTGGTATTTTTATAAAGCAAAAATTGCCAGTGCGCTTGTTCTTGCAAAAACGATCTTCGGTAAAGCATGTAAGAGTTCAGTTATTTCCCTTCTGTTTCTTTCCTCAGCTTTTAAAATTGTTCTAATTCATTTGATTGATTATGAGTTTCAACATGTATGCATTAATCATATGTTCATTGATCTTCTTAGGAGCTCATCGGTATGTTTTCATCCTGTATCGACAACCGGAAAAACTGGATTTTGACTTGCCAAATTTATACCGCGAGTAAGTTGTTTTAGGGATATTAAGTTAACTTATTTGCATTGTATATCATTTTCAGTATATTTGTCATCTATTGAGGTAGATCCTCCACTCGTTATCTGTGCTAACTTTCACGCATTATTTACATGCAATAAATATTCTAATGTTCGGATGAGGCTTGTAATCGACTAAAGTAAAAGTAAAAGTGTTATATTTTTTAGAAATCGGAGGACGCATGTTTGCATCGGAAACAATTTTAAAAAATTGCGAGATATGTGTATGTGTCGCAGGCAAATAGTAAAATCAGGCATTTTGTCAAATGCCTAGGCAAATAGTCAAATATTCTAACTTAGATTGAAATTCTGATTCTTTTCCTAATTTCAGACAAAGTAATTCATTGCTCCTGCAAGAAAAAATTCTCAGTAGAAATTTGCACACACAATAGTATTTTCAACAATTTTTAGCTCCTGAAGAGACATTGATCTCGAAATTTTTAGCATGTCGTACAATACAGAATTTTTGGAATTTCAACATTTTAAAGATATGAGAAGCAATTGAAGAGGAAAAGACAAAAAGATTTCGTAGATTCGATCAGTTATTTTTCCAAAAACAGTGAAAAATCGTGAGCTCTTCGCCATAAATTCACAAAATTTTGTGGACCGTCAAAATTTGACTATCTGCCTAGGCATTTGACAAAATGCCTGATTTCACTATTTGCCTGCGACATATGCATCGTCTTTTATTAGCAATTCTGAAAGGCAGGATCTAATGAAACGTCTAGCTCTTCCTACAGCATTGATCGGCGGTGATATTACCAGACCACGTATTTCGTTTGCTGTATGTAAAAATCTTCGCTGCCGTTTTATTGTTTTGAAGGAGAGCAAGTCAATATCAGTTCTTAAAAATTTCACTCAGTTTTCTCAGCACAAAGAAGAAAGAACGTGATAGTTTTCTAGAGTTGACATTTAGTAGTTTTCATTTTCAAAAATAAAGTATGACAGAAAGTCTACAACGTTGCAACCCGAGATACGGGGTCGGGTAGTTTCACTCCTGATATGCTCATACGAGATGGATTCATAGTGACGTTGGATTATGCACAGGAGGCATAAATTAGCCTATTGTAAGTCTAAAACCATCGTGTAAGGCAACCGTTATAGAGATTAAAACATTGAAATCCAATTAAAAGTAACTGAACATCTCCTACATTTCCGATTCGCTTCGGATATATGAAATCTGCGAAGGAACATTTGTAAATGCTTGATAATTCAGTAAGAACTCTCTAAAAATGTGTATACTATTTTTATCTGTTTTAGTCGCAATGATGTTCGCCGAACTTGCTTCTCGACGAGGAAGTTTTGGACACACTATAATCTAACACCATGGGCCTCTAACTTCTTTTTGTCCAAATACAATGAAACATTGCCGTTTCCACGAACCACTCGTAAATCTCCTTCATGGATACTTCCCACAGCACTCCCAACAATTTTTTCGTTTATGTGACAATATTACTGTCCACGTGTAAAAGACAGAGATACCATTATCTACTTTATTAATTTATTATTTACTTTATTACTTTCTTTATCATTTACTTTTCTTAGTCCGTTGTAATTTCTCATGAGAATAAGGATAAATAAATTAATAAAAATATAGGGAAAAGTATGAAAATTTTAATAAAAACTTTAAAAAATAAGAGACACAAAAGAAAAATGAAAATGAAAACTTCTATACTTAAAAAATAAAGATTTAAAAAATTATGTTTGAAAAAGAAATAAAAGAAACCAAAGAAATTAAAGAAGAATGAGGAATAGCATAAATAAAGTTTGAAAATGTTTAAAAACCCAAGATAAATAATTACAAAAAAACATAAAAACTTTAAAAAAAAAACAATTTTTCTTTAAAAGGACAACAGAAAAATGAAAAAAACAGACAGTAAATGTAAAAAAAAGTCCCCCATACAGTATTTTAAATCAACGTAAATATTAAGGCCTCGAATAAAAACGTCAAAACTGATACTCAATTTTGAAAGTTAAATTGGGCTTGAGAAACATTACCTACTTTCGAAACAAAAATGTTAGTAGTAAAGTTAAGACAACCACCACGCTCGAGTTGGTCAACGGAAAGGGGAACTTTGAGCACCTCAATAACATCTGCTATGTTTTCCTTTTCATAATGTTTTTAATTAAGTTTTACAGCAAATATAGAAATTATAAAAGAAAATTTGGTCCTGCAATTGCATACAACTCGTTCGGCAAGACAAATACATTTTATAAAGAGCTAAAACATGCAAGAAAAACAAAATTCAAAGATTTCTAAGTTGGCCAACATCTGGTGCTTCCTGATCTCTATTTATTCCCTAAACTCTAAAAAAGTATAAGAAAGAAATCTGATGAATATATTCAGTAAAATCAAAAATGAAAAACGGATATAAAACTCATGAAAAAACTATAGAAGGAAAATTGTGATAGAAGCGATTTGTGATAAAAATTACTGATAAAAGCTCATTTTTTGTGCAGCAACCTTTTAGAAAGACGGCCGCGGAAATCACAAGCTGAAGAAAAAATAGCTGCCTCGGATCTGAAGCGTTATTAAATTAATATTCATACATCGCATAGGAAGCACATCCATGAGGAGAGGTCGTACATGACATTCATGACTAAAATTGAGAATTTTCATGTCAATTTCGTCACTTTTTACTTAATGGGGATGATGCTTGAATAAAGGTTTACAAGGATATAAAAAAACTTCACGTGGCGTGGCGAGCTTTGTGATAAATCGATTGATCTGCCATTTAAACCTACGGAAAATAATCGAGAAATAGGGTGTTCGAAACGAACACCTTAATAATCGATTCTTTACCAAAGCTTCGAATGGGAAAATATTCATTATCGATCATTCACGCCCCGTCACTGCTTAACTTAAAATACAACCAGCTTTTGTTAGGAGTTACCATTCTTCACAATCGTCCGGAAAATCGAGATCGACATTTCCTAGCCGGTGCTGTCCTTCTGAAGCATCCCCTTTCGTGCAAAGGCCCCAACTCAACTGCGGCGAAACACAGTAGCCGTTGTCCGTCGCGTGGTACCCGGTGTGGCCGGCGAACATGAAACAATCGTGAGTTTTACCGTTGTCGTCCACAGTCACTTTCTCGATGACGGCATATCCGCTCGGGATATCCCCGGTGTCTATCACAGGATAATCCAAACCGTCGATCCTTTCGCCCCCGCATTTCACCGAAAACTTGTCCCCTTGCCACACCCCTTTCGCCGAGAACACCGCGAAAGCCGAAATCCATCCGCTCAAGTACGCGGGTCCAGAACCTCCACTCGTATGGTGACAAATCCGCCTCCAGAAGTCCATGTCGGCCTCGCAATCGGGATCGGTAGCCTTGACAAACTCATCCAGGATCTTAGTCAACATTTCACTCCACTTGACGCAATGCTCCCCGTACCCCTTCAACTTCGAAATGCGACCCCTGATGTCCTTCCAGTCGTCCACGGTGCCTAAAATTTCGATTTTCGGAATACCGCAGGCCAAGCAAATTTTGTAATCGAAAAACTTCTGACACGTCGCCATCAGCATGACGCTGCCGACGATTCGGTCGTTGTCCGTGGTCGTGGAGAAAGACGGCAAGGCCCAGTCGCACAAGTCGGCGTCTTTCAAATGTCCCCGCATCAACCCCACGATGGATTCGACCAGCAGGGCGTAGTTTGCGGTGTGCAGAGTCCCGACAGATTCCGCCACCAGTTCGGCTTTTCCCTCGTGAGCTACGGTCTGGGACCGGTACGTTTCGGCGTTAGCGTTGAAGTGGAAAGAGAACTGCGACATGATGGCAAGCCAAACGTCGTCCGGTCGGATCGAGAGGTTATAGTGTCTGTTGTACGCGTCCAGGACGCCGCAAACGAATCCGTGTTTGCGATACAAGAAATTTGCACTGTCGATGGTATTCGCTTGAATGACGTCCAAACCGTTCAACCGGCGGAAATCAATAAATTTCGTGAAATAATGCGCAGACGTGCTGTCACTCATACGGGGAAGTATTACTTTTTTGGGTTCGTTTTCCGGCGTTACTATTAACGTCGTCATAGTGAAATGTTAAAAAACGCGGAGGAACGGAGAGAAAGAGGGGAAAACGAGGAAAAAGAGGGGAAAACGGGGGAAAAGAGGGGAAAACGGGGAAAAAGAGGGAATAACGAGAAAAAAGAGGGATTAACGGGGGAAAAGAGGGAAAATGGGGGGAAATGGGGGGAAATGGAGAAAAAGAGGAAAATGGCGAAACGCTCGCGCGCGTGGGTAAGTTGTTACACACCACTAGAATAAGCGCCCTTTCCACGCTGATAGAAACAAGAGTTTTGAGTATATTCTAGCACAAAATAAGCAGTTCAAGAATACTCAACTCGGTTGTTAAACGAGATTAAGAAATCAATCACTGTAATTAAATGTTGTCATTCAAAATGTTAAAAACGCGGAAGCAGAGGGGGAAAATTGCGATAGCACGTAGAAAAGTAGTTACATACTGCGAGAATAAGCGCACTTTCCTCGCTGGCAGAAACGCGGGTTTTGAGTATATTCTAGCACAAAATGAACAGTCCACGAATCCTCAACTTGGTTGTTTAACGAGATTAAGAAATCAATCACTGTAATTAAACGTTGTCATTCAAAATGTTTAAAAAGCGTGGGAAACAGAGGGGAACGCTGCCGCACGCACGTGGGTAAGCAGTTAAATACCGCTAGAATAAGCGCACTTTCCACGATGGAAGAAACGCGAGTTTTGAGTGTGTTCTAGCACGGAATGAACAGTTCAAGAAAACTCGACTTGATTGTTTAACTAGAAAGGAAAATCGATCACTGTAAATAAAAGCCGAAGAGAAACAACGGTCAGAATACACTGCGTTATTTTTGCGCAACATTCGCTAACCACGGTGAAGGTACAATCGCACTCTCTAGAGCATTCGCCGACGCGCTCCGAGGGGAACCCCACGACCGAAGAGAGTGGAGGCACCGAAGAAGACCGAGAGTGGGGGAACTTTGGCTTGCCAAAATGCGCATGAGTCTGCAATGCAAGTGCAATTGCGCAATTTCGCAATGTTACCCGTGTCGTGGTCTCCAGCGACCGCTGCGCGCCAGTGTCGGCGACCGGAACTAAGCCATTCCCGTGCCCCCGTCCCGCCCAGCCCGACGCGACGCCGCGACGCCTGTTTGTGTTTGTCCCTCCTTCATTCTCGAAATTCGATTAATTTCTCGGCGGGCTATTTGAATAAACTACCAGTAATGGTAAGAATGGACCACTAGATAAGGTACGAATTTCAGCATTCTGATACATGTTTCTTAACCAAAATTTTACGTAGAATACGATACGCACAACAAAAATTACCGAAATTAACTCCTTACGAAGATATTTAATGATTCTTAATGCGTGAATTCAAACCACCCGCTCATGAAAACTCAATGGTCTACGTGATTCACATCGCGCGCTAAACGTTATCATGACAGTCTCTGCGATATAAAAATCTGGCAACCTCAATCTTGACACTTTGGCTCAGTTATAGCAAATTGCTAATAGTTTGAACAACACATGATGGAAAATGAACATTCATCGATTGAGAAGCTTGCTGAAACCGTTGTATTGGGCGATTTGACTCACGTAGAGTTTTGAGTTTCTTGTGAGCGGGCAGTTCAAATTCCTCGTAACCAATGTGAAATAAAAACGTTAATATCTTCGTTAGGAGTTGGTTTCCGTAATTTTCGTTGTGTGAATCGTTTTTTACGTGAAATTCTGGTTAAGAAACATGTATCAGATCGCTTAAATTCGTACCTTGTCTAGTGGTCCATTCTACGTTACAAGATACGTATTGAGTATTCCCATATTCTTTCACGCAAAAAATGTGGAACACATTTAAAACTATAAGAGCGAAATCAGGGGTTTCCGTCTATTCGTATCTGTCAATTCATTCCCGCTTGTGAGATAAATCAAAATGAAAACAAGTGGAAAATGAGATTAAAAACAATCAATTTCGCTCAACAATTAACATTATTTAGTTTTGCAGCATTTTATAACTTTCATGTAATAAATCCTCGGAGCTCAAAAACTTTTCAAGGATAAATGGACTGCGTTAAGCAGAAAGGAACCAAGCCACATCAGCTATTGTCAAATTTAACCAGACAAATTAATTTCTTCCATGAAAACAGTTGTGCGGATTTTCGTGCAAATTTCAGTGAATTTTCTGCATAGTACAAAGCAAATTCCCTGAAATTTTCAAAGGAATCTGCACAAACCGTATTTTGTAAAAAATTAAATTGCCTCGTTAAATTTGGCAATAGCTGATGTGGCTAAAAAACATTTTCGAGGTTTTCTTTTGTCCCCCAAGTAGACTGACAATTTTCATAAAAAAATTTTACATGATACTCTTTCTGGGTTGTAAATAATGACACTTGAAGGAAGAGCATTAGTGCCCTTTCTGTAATACATGGGGGAAGGATCCATAAAGAGTGATAGAATGAAGCCAGAAAATTATTTTAGCCCTTGTTTTTCATCTCAAATGTATGGCAATGATGCATGTCTATAGCGAAAGTTGGAAATTGTATATCTCCATTGCTACGTTTAAAAATTTCTGCTCTCTTTTTATACTACTTTTTTAAAGAGAGCTAATAGAGATTTCCCCATGAAATTTTCAGAAAACAATCTTGATGGTGTGAAGAAAATTTACACAAAATTTCAATAGAGAATACTTAAGAACAAAAAAAAGAAGAAATAAAATTGGCAATGTCGCAATTGATGGTATGCGATTTCGAACTTTCACCATGTGGTTTGCCCACAGCTCTGTAAATTCTAAAAATATTTCTGGCTTATTTCAAGTCAAGAAATTTAAAAAAAAATAAAAAAAAAATTAAAAAAAAAAAAAAAAAAAAAAAAAAAAAAAAAAAAAAAAAAAAAAAATGTATCCTTTGAAGTTCAATAGCGTAGTAATCTTCTACCGACTTCCTCATCCAACCTGTTAAGGGCTCCTCTTACTTCCTACACTCAAGGTTCATTCAATTCTCACTCCTTTCATTTTCAGCGTGAGTGAAGCGTGTAGCGTGATCACTGTCGTTTCGAAACGCAAAACTAACGTCTCAATCGTATCAAAACAAAACAAACGACGAGTTGCCGCTGCCGATGCGCGCGCACCCAGTGGGCATGTACTGCAGAAACGGCACTATATTGCTGCAACAGTGCCCTTTCTGCTCTACGTGAGGAACTTAACCCCTGTCAATAACACATAAAAAATGCGAATATAGTGCCCTGTCTGCACTACAGGATGTGTCTACATACACTAATGCGAAAACCGCAAAAAACTCAATTTCGAAAAACATGTCGATTGTGCCCTTTCTGTAATAGCTGATTCAAATGGAATGTAAATCGTCCTGTGAACACCATTGAAAGCAGCATGTAGAATGGAACTCCGGTTTATTACGAACTGTATCGATCACCACACATTCATACCCACATATCTCACTGAGACTGCATAGGTAGTGTAAAGTAAGGGTTAAGAGGGTTCGCTCAAGTAATGTGCTCTTTTAATAATCATCAAATTAATCTCATGTTGAACTCGAATTATCATTCACAGCGATTTGAATCAAACATTGCGTCATGCCCAATTTTCAAGTTCATTCGTTGACCAGTTGTTGCTTTGTCTCACAGGGACAGTTCCCCATAAACATGAATGCTGTGTATTTCAGCGAGCAATTGTGAAATGTTCAGTCAATTTTTGCACTTGCAATTTCGGTTCGTGAATGTTATCCTCGCTGTCCTGTTAACCATCTCTCTGGTTCCATGTGTCTTACCTTTGTATCCCGACATTTTAAACGTCAGTGCGGAGCAAGTTTTTTATTTATTGAACAAAACGAGAATTTTGGGTGATGTCATACAGAAGGCTCCAAAATATACATGCATGGTGAGTGATGACTAACCAAACACAGACCGATTGGCGGTGATGGAGGAAAATTGTTGTATTTAGAAAATTGCATATTGATCGAGGTTTTGAGCGCGTAACATTTCTGAAATGTAGATCGTAATACTTTTTTTCTCTCGTCTGATAAGGTACACTGAAGAGGACTCCAGTGCTCCAAAATAGTGCTATAAAAATAGCTTGATGCTCATATTCCGTGTGATTGTTCCTTAGAGGTGTATCACTGTTCGTAGGATACCACTGTTGGTTCTCGCTAGGGCTCGTTTTGCCTACTCTCTCAAATGCAGGGGGACTCATTCACACATCAGTTTTAAATACCACTGCTGCTGCCTATAGGAACTCGTTTTGCCTATACCTTGTAGGGTAAAGGGGGAGCGCTTTTACATGCGAGTGAAATATGTATGTACACGAATGTTCATACCCTGAAAATTAGACTTCTTCATTGGTTCAAAAATTTCCCTGAGCGAGTTCAAGGAACAACTTCTCTGTTACAGGTTGTATTTCGGGAATTTGAAATACAATTTTTTACCCGGAGAATATAAATACAGCATGCAGCTGCCGGGAAGAGAGTGAATTGTGCGCTAAATTCTACATTGGTTACAGTATTCAAAATTGAAAGGCATGAACGATTCTCAGTTCATTCCGTTCTCATGGTCTTCCTTCTCTGGTATCGCTCCAATTCTTGACTCGAATAAATTTGCTCTTGATCGCAGAACTGCAAACTTTCAGCCTTGACATTTTAATTGTTATTTCCTGCAAGATACCACATATTTTTTTCCAAAGGTTGCAAATTTTCAATTATATTTCACGCTTTTGATAGACGGCCAATTATCATTACAGTTTTTATTTTCGCGGAGATAAAAAAAAAATTTCGACAAATCATTAATCGATTTCGGAAACCTTCCAAGAAATTGTCAGAAATTACTCTACAAATGCTCCTTTAGGCAGAAAAGCTGCATAAAATCTGTGCATAATCTCTCAAAATTAAAAAATGGATCCTTTTTCTGGAGAGTCTTTAGAGTTCAAACAAAGTCCCAAGGGGCTCTGCGAGATTTTTGAAAAAGTGTACCAAACGAATCCCAAAATGTTCTCCAAAAGGGCTGCTATGAAGCCCTTTTCAGTCAAAGTTTACAGAGGATCAATCTCAAACATCTAATCCAAGCCAGCCCACTGAGCGTTAATCAACCTTATTGCTCTAAATTGTTGAATGATACAGTGAATTGAATGTGAAAAATTACAGTGGAGCTTCGAAGTTCAGTTCATGAACCGCAACTCAAACCTCTCTGTAATTTTTCAGATGAGATGGATATACCTTGTAAATTTTTCGTTCACAAATTTCATCACGACGATAACGTCTCATTGCTTGATCTGGTTCCAGGTATCATATTTTGAGAACACCGCCGTGGAGCTGGGGAACGTTCTTGAGGCAAAGCTGATCAGATATCCTCCCCACTGGTGCCGGTGGACCGGTGAAGAGAGTAGCTACTACACATTTTTGGTGACGGGTGAGACCTGCACTCTGCCGTGCTAAGGAAGAACGCCGTATAAACATTCGAGAGTTACCAAATTTCCTACAATAAAATGTTTATTTTTGAGGAGCGCTATGAATATTTTGCCTTTTTTTCAGAAATTTGTGGTTAAATTGTGAACAAAATTATCTGAAAAATTGGAAGGGAAATATCCACAAGTTTACCAGGAAATTCGTGTTTTATCAAAGGAAATTTGACAACGCCTGAACATTCGCACGGCGTTTTTCCTTAGCACGGTCTTATTGTACCGAATACCATTCGTTTGACCCCTGGATGTATGCCAGTTTATGCCTCGAAGCATATATAGATGAGCCTAAACACCCAACCTGAGTTAAAGTTAGAAAGTAGTGCGGATTGCGGAATTTGCGAGGCCATCCTAGCGAACACGGAAAAAANGTGGTTCTCTCAAAGTTAACGTCCAAAGATTCGGACCTCCGTTTTAATGCATCGAAGACAATTTTAGAAAATTATGGGAGAACATTTGAGAAAATCGAAAAAACGATCACAGCCTGCAAATCTACAGCTCAGGGGCTTTCATTTAAAAAAAATCCCATGCAAATCGGTCCGGTGGTTCTCTCAAAGTTAATGCCACAAGATTCGGGACTTTGCATTTTAATATATAGGATGGCACCGACTACAGGCAGTAATGCTGAGTACTGCAGCTTTAAGGTCCAGCCCTACTGCCTTTAGATGGCGTCATTCGACCCAAAGTGTTAGGGCTCAGCATGAAGTTGTTTCTTCCGTGCCTGTTCCGTATTATAAGCGAGAGACTTTAACGAGCGGGTAGGAAAAGCACCGCTAATTTTGGAATCCAGCAAGCTGTAATACTTGTGTTTTTCTAATCAGTACATTACAAATTGAGGGGCCATACGCCTTGCCCCCTCCCAGCTTGGCGTAAAAATCTGCCATTTTGCAAAGTTGTCGCAGCGGGCGCAGAATACCACCCGTAAACGGTCAAATGATGTTTTCATACATTACGGGGGAATTTTCGTTTCATACGTGCAACGAGGGCGCTTTTTCTAGGTTATTTTAACTAGCATTGTCATCGATACTGTGTTGACGTTTTATCAATGATGATCTTTCCGCGCATTATCAAATGAGATAAAATTGAAAAAAAATATGAATATTGTGCAATTATTAATTTGGCATGCATAGTGGCGTATCTTCTATCCTATGACGCGATCTCCTGGAAATTGATACTTCCTCGGAAATGATTTTATTTTTGTAACGTGTCGGAGAGACTCTGTTAATTTGAGACATAAAGATAGATCTTTATAGGGACCGAAAACGCTCATCGTGAACTGAACATCAAATTCCAGGAGATCTAGATCGAGAAAATAAAAAAATAATTTTAAAAAACGCACGCAAAAGCTTTATTTAGTCATAGAGAATGTTTGAAATCATGTGATGATTCCTATCATAAATATCAAATATTAGAAATGGTTCGAGTTATGAAGTATTGAGTATCTTTTTTCGTGATTTCGATTTAAAAGGCATCATTCTCTCATTGCTTCTTTCAGTGAATTATTTCAACATGTCTTGAAGATCATTCAAAAATAACTATGACGTGAACGAAACTAGTAATCATGGGAAAATAATTGCATGAGCCTCAACATTAATCTTATGATTTCAGGTCCGGACGAGCCAAGTAGAGAACATCCCGTGGAAGGGGAATATATTCACTGGCTTATTGGAAATATAAAGGGTGACAAAATACTTCAAGAAAAAGAGTACATTTATGAATACATTGGACCTGATCCAAAAAAAGGAACAGGTATAAATTAGTCCTTAATACAAGATGTATCCTACTCAATAGTCAAAAAACATCCAAAATAACCATGCTTCCAATTAAGGAGGGTGAGGGGGGGAGAGGGATGAAGTCTTTGAGTTTATAAATTAGTATTATCATCTTCTGGAGGAATTAAAAACAAGACGTTCCAACGCAGTTGCGTTTGAGGATGCTTCTCTCAGTGGCAGAAGGAAGTAATTTGGTTGCCCATACATTGTTAAAAATCAGTGATTTACTCTGAGTGAATAGCCAGCTTGAAAAAAAAATCCAGCGCAAAGTTCGCGCCGTACTCTGAGTTAATAGATCGGAGCGTACATATCACGGATGAATTAGTTGAGGTACCTCACGTAGCGTGAATTCAGGGCATTCTGTTACGAGCGCCGAATGGCGAAATGGTAGCACACTCGTCTATCACCGCCGCGACCAGAGGTCGAATCTATGCTGTGGCGATTCCGTTTTACGTTTGCCTGTCAGATTCTCACCCCCGCGCCCGCCAGAGCGCGAGATTCACACTTTGGATAATCTTGATAGGAAAATACCATTTTGTACTTGATGGCGCATACTGATACACACGATTTTCCACCAGATGTTGGTCTTCTACGCACTCAGTTCTCCTCATGCTTCATTCGCGAGGTCTAGTATATCTAAAGAGCTAGACGTACTGACCTTAACAATTCTAAAATGGATGTGTATTCTTTACAGGGAAACACAGAGTAGTCTACTTAGTATTCAAACAACCCGATGGAAAGTTAAAGTTTGATGAACCAAGATTAAATGACAGCACGTAAGTATTTTGCAAGACAATGCATCTACAAATCACATTTCACATGCTTTAATGCTCTGAAAACTAACAATTCATAACACAATTTAAATCAAAGAAAAGGTTTTAAAAACTGTCCGAAACAACGTAAATCGCCCATGTGCACTATAAAGTTTACGTGGGGTATGAAGAGTCGAGGTTAGGTTACAAATGAAGGAATATTCACGTCATTGTGATTGGATTTGAATGTACGGAGAAATATTGGTTCTGTTTCTTTTAAACTTCTCGTACATGTTGTCATCTCTTTTTTTTAGATAGTTACATGCTTTTTAGCCATACCACAGCTCCTCCTAAAATTTAAACAAAAAAATGAGCATTCAACGATCCTTTCATTTTCTCAACAAGTCTTCATTTTCCCTGAGACAGTTTTTTAAAGTTTGCTTTCATTTTTTTTTTTTTTTTTTTTTTTTTTTTTTTTTTTTTTTTTTTTTTTTTTTTTTTTTCAGGCGAGAAAATCCACGTAGGAAGAACTTTTCCTGTGGCAAGTTCGCGAAAAAGTACAATCTTGGTGACCCTGTGGCTGCTAATTTTCTGTACGTAGAGTGGGGGCTCAACAAGTCGAGAGTTATTCCTCCGTGGTCAATGGGAGGAAAAGTTACGCTGCCAACACATCCTGACTATGTCTGGGATCCAGAAGAGAATATGCCGTGGTTTTTGAGCAAAAAGGATCTGGAGAAACCGGTCACACCAGAACCCTTTTGAATGATGAATATAATGAATATACTCTTATGAAGAGATTGCTTGTGCAATCAACATTGATAAGGAATAACTGAGCATTTCTGAGGCGCAAACATAAAGTTAGGCAAAGCGTATCGAATCGACAATAAAAATTAGAAAATTAACCTTTCCCATCATTCAGATAAAAGACAAAAAAAATATATTAATGAAAGTGACATTTGCTGAATAAAAACAGAAACATTTTTTAAGTCAATAGTTACGTATTTTTTCTGCGTCTCCCAAAAATTCTCCCCCCGCTCGAGGGTGCGGCTTATTTCCGTCATGTAGGAAAATATGCAAGGTCCGGGTGGCAATCGGTTCTACCTATGAAAATAATGAGCTGTATAAAATTTTAGCCAATTTGAAGCTTTTTTAGATGATGCTCAAAGGGATCAAAACTACGGGCAAAATTACATTGGTTTGAATGGGCGGAAAAACGCCTGATCTGCGAAAATGCGTTTTTTGCATCTAAAATGCGCTTAAATGAAGAAAACCTGACCAACCTTTTAGAGAGGCATCTAGGAGCCCATTTGAAACGAGAAAATTACACTTTTGACCCCTGAGTCAACACCCCCGGGAACAGGGGAGTCACGGCGTAGCCGGTTTTGAGGCGCCGTACCTGCAGCTAAGTGATCGCTTTTGAGACTTTCTGATCGAACTCAAAATAAGTGTTCCGAAGTTGAAGAGGCTAATGTACCTCACAACTTGATGAGAAATAATATATAATAGTTGTTGTAGTCCTTGAGAACCATACTTGGCCCTTTACAATGTTGCCTCCCGGTTTCAGGACATTTTGTCAACGATTTTTTGTCCGCGCACCTTTTTTGTCCAGTAGTTTACGCCCACGCGTTTAGCAACTGTGACTTGGTCCAAGCGTTATATTTTAGTCGGTATGTAAAATTATGTTGACAATATGGAAATGAGAAATTGAGAGAGAAGGAGGTGTTGCTATGGTTGCTCATTTTCTAAATGAAATGTTATTACTTTCTCCTTTTGAATCTTCTTTTTAAATTCTCATTGGTGAATATTTGGTTTTATTTCTATCCTTATTCGATGTACAATATACCTTATATATGTATAGGTACTTTTTTATTTTTTTAATTTTTTCTTCACGAAATTATTACTCCATTTCGAAGACATTTATATTTTTAAAACGTGATAAATATTTGTAAAACCTTCTCCAAGCGACATTAATCTCAATGAGCCGCAGTTGTGCCAACAGAAACTGCAAAAATGAATAAAAAGGGGGGGGACAAGAAGCACGCAATCTTTAGTTTAAACCCGTTTGCACATCGATCTTTTAGAGTCAAATACGTCAAATTTTAAGCGTTTGGTTGCGCGTGCACCTCGCTGCAGCACAATAAAAGCACAAAATGTAAAAGAAAAAATTAAAGTGCTTTGGAAATCATTAAATTTGACACGGAGCCACCAACATTTAAAAAATACACATTATACTATTATTCTCCTTTGATAAATTGATACATATTTTTCCCCATCAATTTAAATGAGAATAATAAATGCAGAGTGTACAAACATTTCAAAATCAAGAGTTAAAAAACGCTGACTATGCGAGTATTAATATTAAAGCATAACAGAGCGGAGCTGCGTGCTGACAGCGCGAGAGGCTCACGGGCGCCTACAAACCTAAGTGGATACTTCACGCATTGCACAATGCTTGAAGTATCCACTTAGGTTTGTAGGCACCAATGCGCGTTTCGCGCTAGCCGCCCGCCCGCCGCGCCGTGCAGCGGCACCTGAAGCAACTATTTCACAACAGAGGTGTTCTTAACACAATCGTCAAATCAATCTCAATAATTGCTCTAATAATGGTTTCTAGCGACTGGATCAAATATGTAGGTCGCACCCACTTGTTAAGTTCATTTGTTGACTATTTGTTGTTTATTCTTGCAAAGACTGTTCCCCAAAAACATGAGTTATTTATATTTAACCACACATTTCAACGAACGAATTTGAAATGTTGAATCGGTTTTTGAACTTGCACCACCGGTCTGTTAATTTAAACCTTGCTGTCGTGTTAGCCGTATATCTAGTTCCACGTGTCTCATCTTCGTATCCTGATATTCTAAATGTTAGTGCGGAGCAAATTTTTAAGTTACTGAATGAAACGAGAATTTTAGGTGATGTTATACAGACGGCTCCGAAACACACTTGCAAGGTAAGTGGTGTACGGATTGGTTTTCCATTTAGCGTACCTTCCACACAAGAGTGGAACAAGAGGAGTCAACGCGGATCTGGGGGCGTGCCCCTCCTCCCCCAAAAGCTGCTTCATCTTATTCAGAAAGTGTAAAGGATTTTGAGAAACAAGTGCTTGGCATTTCCATCATCCATCATATTGCATTTTGATCAGTTTTCGGTGAGGAAAGTTCAAAAGTGTTCATTAGTCGTCTCAATTCTCAAAATCTTCCTGGGAGCTCCCGGAGTCTTTCAGCTTATTTTAGCTTCACTCTGCGTGGATATTATTAAAACATATATATGGATGTAGTATTGAAACCACAATTGTGGTACGATGCTCACGAGAGCTGAAATTCCTTGTGATGGTTTTCCATACTTTCTCAAAATCGGGCGAACTCATTTACTCTATATATTTAGATATATTTAGATACAGCACTATTGCTGCTCGTGGGAGCTCGTTTTGCCTACCTTGTCAGTTGAAGGACAACTCTTTCTATGCGTGTGGGAAAATTTATGTATGCGAATGAACTGCATTCCTAACCTAAAATTTAGGTCTTCTCGTTTTTTTCCCTCAAGAAAGCCGAAATAATTCATACACCATCCACTCTTTTCAAAGCTGTGTCTTGTGAATTTGAAGTTGTGGATGGCGGATGACAGATTACTTGAGAAAGTGCTAAATTGGGTTCTTCCTGGGAGTAGACGCAGAGAACGTCCAGCAAAATTGTGGATAGGTGGCATTCAAGATGAAATTACAAGATGCCATTTACCAGATGACCTCTGGATCTATAGACAAGAATGGCAATTAGGTGTTGCAGGGTGCCTGGGCGCGCTGTAAAAGCGCCTTGAATGTATGTATTTGTATATTACACAGCAGCTGCGCGAATACCAAGTGAAACTAAGAGATGCTTGAAATCAATTAAAAGAGTCAAAGCCTAAAGCCAGAAACACAGCATAATCAATTTCGTGTTCTTTCTCTTCTACTCATGCCTCATTATCCCCTCCCAAAATGATTGACTTGAACACAGAGCTTTCCTTAGCAGCACTGTAAACGTTGCTGTAACGCACCACTTTTACTTGGCTGCCGTTATCAACTAATTCTCACAACTTTATTACAAGCAGTGCGTATTTTGTGTCATACTTTTTTGGGAGACGACCGATCATCATTACTACACAAAATTATATTTCTCCACCCTTTCAAGACGATCCTGTGAAAATGTTGCAGAAACTTTAAAGATAAACAATTTTTGAAAGCATAAAATATCAGCGGAAAATTGGGAGCACCAAAATTGAGGCGCAAGTCTCTCTGGTTTTGCCATTTAGATCAATTTCTTCCATACCATCTAAATTACGTAGACCTCTCATAAATGTGCCCTTCTCATCAACATTTGATTTACATCCGTGAAGGAAAAGAATACATATATCTAAAATGTCTCTTAAACATGGATCATTGGACCCTTTTTCAAGGACCCTTTTTATGGGACTAATCTGTCAGCCTCCAAAGTATAGAGTTTTAGAACTTCAGTCAACTTCGTTGCTTCGAATTGTCAATGATATCTGAATGAATTGTGAGAAATTACAGAGGGCCTCAAGGTGCATGAAATAGACACCCTGTAATCTATAGGTTTGAAAGTATTTTTTTCGGCGACCACATTTCATCCTCCGATGTTTTTTCAGGTATTATATTTTGAGGACACTGCCGCAGAACTGGGAAACGTTCTTTTAGCAAAAGAAGTCAGTTATGCTCCTCGTTGGTGTCAGTGGACCGGCGATAACAGTAGCTACTACACATTCTTAGTGACGGGTATGCCTTTCATTAAAGACCGTTTTTTTGAGCACTAGAATCGATGATAACAGCTGTTTGTGAACATTCTTTTAAAAAAATAAACATCCGCAGTAATTGTCATGATTTCATGATTAATATTGCGCTTTGTGATTTCAGGCCCTGATGAGCCAAGTAGAGAACATCCCACGGAGAGGGAACACATTCACTGGCTTGTTGGAAATATAAATGGCGACAATATACTTCGTTCAAAAGAATACGTTTATGATTACATAGGACCTTACCCGAAGAAAGGGATAGGTATGAATTAGCCATTAATAAAATGAGCATCCTACACAAAGACAAAAATTATCCAAAATTACTTTTGGATAATTTTACCATTCATTATATGAGGAACCAAGTTTTGTTCCTCAAGAAGGAAGACCATGTAAAGTCTTAAATTACGAAAATTGATACCTTCATTTCTCATGAAATTATCAAAAAAATTTAGTAATTGTTGGTTCTTGATAATCTTAAGAATATTACTCGATTTTTTAACTCAAAGGTTCCTACTGGTAGGCGTACCTTTTCAACGGATTAATTTTTCTTCTTCTTTCCACTCGAGTCCTCCCCGTGCTCCATTCTGCTGTGATAGCGAAGATAGCAGTAAGTGAATGCTGGGATGAACCTCGAAACATATAAAGCATGCGCTAACCATGGCTCATACAGAAATGCGTACTTCCTGCTCCCTTCGCAATAGCGGCAGCATTAACGACGCTTATTTTTAATAATGAGCACTAGGTCAAGAATGATATACGATTCTAATATTTTTCTGTATTTTCACAGGAAATCGCAGACTGGTGTATTTAGTTTACAAGCAATCAAATGGAGAGTTAACATTTGATGAAAGAAGATTAAATGACAGCACGAGCACGTAAGTATCTATACTATAAGCTCCTAGACCTACTATATTTGCATATCTGGTAAGTCCCAGCTCCAGCGTTCTACTGGGCCGATTTTCATGATTTTTGCCGATATCAATAGGCAATTGTCTCTAAATGAGCCCGTTCTCTATAGAGTTTGAAAATGTGAACCAGATTTTTAATAATTTCATGGTAAAGTTGCGAATTCTCCCATTTAAACAATGTAAATTTTAAATTTTGTCACAGTTCGTTTTGAGCGTTCTACTGGGTCTATTGTCATGATATTTACGGTCATCGACAGGTGATTGTCCCTAGATGAGCCCGCTGTAATTAGATTTTGGAAATACTCAGGTTTTATTATTGAGAGTAGATCAGTAAGCTTACGATTGAGCAGAGGGGAGAGCTTCAGGAGCCGCCGCCCACGGCGCACTATGGTCCAAAACTCAAGAATAGGAAGAAGTAAGCCGGAGAAATGATTGATAGATAACGAAAGTTTCGGCACTGGTTTATGGCATGCTGCGGCGCGGCGCGGCACGGCGGCGTGCTGCCAGCTCGAAACGCACATTGGCGCCTCCTACAAACCTACAGGGATACTTCAAGCATTGCGCAATGCGTGAAGTATCCCCTTAGGTTTGTAGGCGAGAGTGCGTGTTTCGCGCTGGCAGCACGCCGTGTCGCAGAGCTCCCGGTGGGTTAGTGGTGAACGATTTATATACGATACCTGATGGCCTGCTGAACCTTCGTAATAACCGTCGAAAGACCCAAAAATCTTTTTGAAAATCCTTTTGCAATTAAATGCAATACAATTTTTATTTTTTAACTAAAATTGCAAGATTTTTACACCATTCGGGTTGTAAATGCAGAAGAAAACATTCAATAAAACTTATTCCACGCACAAGAGAGGTAGGAAATTTGGAGTACAAAAGAGCCTAGGATGTCTTATTAGAGCAGTGGGGTATTGATAAAGACTACCTCAAGATTTTAGGGCGACTTTGATTCGTTAGATTGCTAGAGACAAGCTTAAAACTAAATGTGATAATAGGGATATATTTGTCAGGCGTGCTCTTCCAACACCACTTCTTGGGTCTACCTGCTTGTTTCTTTTTGATTAGATAAACATGGTAAACTTTTTCATTAAATTTTGTTTGTATTCAATAGCTTAGCTTCACGCTTCTTAACCATCCTGCTTCTCTTCTTAAGTATCATACTAAAAAATAAGCATGTAAAGAATCCGCAAAATTTCAACTAAACTATCCCTATCCCATAATAGTTTCTGATTATTATATTTGTCTTTGCAGGGAAGGAAACCCACATCGAAGAAACTTCTCATGTCGAAAGTTCGCAAAAAAATACGATCTTGGCGACCCTGTGGCTGTGAATTTTGTATACGTAGAGTGAGGAGCACGTCACGTCGGGTGACGTCGGGTGACGTCGGGTGTTTTTCTTTCATAGTCGTGGGGAGGAAAAGTTTCACTGCCAACGCACCTCATGCCACCTTATGGATCCAGAAGAGAGCTTATGGGGTGTTCAAGCAAGAAAGATCCAGAAATCGACCCCGCAAGAGCCTGTTTGGGCCTTAACGACAATAGATAGACGGTGATAATGTTGCAAATCGATAAAGGTAAATAAATATGCCTCGCACCAGAGTGACTGCAGAATTTTTTATTGGTCTTCCAAAAATGTTGGCGCATAAAGTTGAAACAGTGTCCTTACTTTTAGAGTATGAAATAATATTTATCATATATTAACAGGGACATAAACCCCTCTCCCGCCAATGATCCTTGCGTTGCAACCAAAAGTTTGAAATTTTGAAATTCCATCAAGTTAAGAATATGAAGTGTTTGTACTTACCCTTCATAAATTATGTAAAGACATTAATAGCCTGAATTGCTGAATGTCTTTACAATAGCTTCTGAATTTTTTTTTTTTTTTTTTTTTTTTTTTTTTTTTTTTTTTAGGTTGGTTTCTCACAATCAACAAAAGAAATGTTTTTGGTGAGATTGATACAAGAACTTATGTGGGGTGATTTCTCTGACCGCACCAGAGATTGGCCTAGAGTTGTAGGAAGATGGGGGCTTCTGAAATTAAGACCATTTTCAATTCAGTAAAACAGCATCATGATGATCAGGCAAAATCCTGACATTATGAAAATGTTACAAAATGTACATGTTGTTTTCCTTTTTTTAACTTGAAGGTCACGCTGACTTTATGCAATACTTCAATTCAAATACTTCAATACTCCTTAGAAAGCAACGATACGCTAAATAGTATTTCAGAACAATCCTAAATGAATAAACAACCTCTAAATAAAATTAAATAAGAGAACCATCGGTAGATAGATTTCGGTCATATTCGAACCTTGGCGAAAATTCTTTTACGCGCCTTTAAGTTTTAGGTTACACAGAGATAATCTAAAATTGTATTTTTTAATGTAAGAGCTTTTTGAGTTTTATCATCTTGATTGAATAGTCAATAGATAAGAGACAAGCCTTCGCTATCAAAGGCTTTTAAGCGTAGAATTCAGGAAGAACCTCGTGTACTCCATTCGGTAGGCATTACGTAGAAAGAGTGAAGCTGCTTGTAAAAGACAGCACGATTGACCAAGGTTCCGTGAAAACATCCATACATAATGAAAAATGTATGAAATTGCATTGTTCGAAATGGCGTAGTGGATGTGCCTGGTTGCACTTTATTCATAGTTTTAACGATAATTTCATCTTAATCACAAAAATGGATTCTTTCCTGTCATCCATGATAAAGAACGTGGTCATGTTAGTGGAATTATTTCTTGCTGCCAGCGCAGAAAAAGTGAAACTCAGCGAAATGTCAAGAGTCATGATAGAAATGGAGTTAAGGAAACACGGCATCATTCCTGACGTGGTAGGAGACATGGAATCACCCAATAATTTAATCAAGGTAAATTGCTTTCTGTATAGTTTAGTGCTTTATGCGTAAAATTCAAACGGCCGACTGTTGAAATTACCAACCGTCATTCGATGTAAAACTATTTTATCAGGTTTTTATACATAGCTGAGCAGGAAAATACTGAAAAATGGAGGACAGTTTTCGAATTTTTGAATAGTCAATGAAATATGTCAATGGTATATAGTCCAATGAAATTTTTTCAACAAATTTGAATTTTTTTTATTCTAAATCAATAGACTTACCTACTAAAAATAATGGATCCTGATGATAATCGAATGTAAAAAGAATGTAAAAGTTAAGTTCTATACCCTTAGTTATATAAATTTAAGCCGAAATTTCAGCGCAATAGAGTGCTCTGCGACCCCTAGACGTCATCGAAATCTATCATTCCATAGATCATCAGGCAAACGACAACTTCTGGTCTCCTCCTCCGCTCTGTGTTGACAATATTTTATTGTGGGCTAATAGTTGAAGTTGGTAGACAAAGCGATGGACAAAGAAGACATAAGGAGTATGGAGCGATTCTATTTGTTGAAATGGGTGGCTCTCATAGACTTGTGAGAACATGATGGACTAACTAAGGGGTCCCTCGTGGGTTGCCGTTAGTTAGTCTTTTGCCCACCTCTTTTGTCCATTATAACCGCACGCTTCTACCTATAGGACCCCTCCATATCCTTTTTGTCTTCTTTGTCTATCAAAAATTAACAATCAGCCCGCTGAACGTCCACGTCGTTCTCTATCAAGAGGAACCCAATCGAGAACTCGCTTAGGATTTAGGCGACCATCCATTCGCCAACTTCCGCACTTTTCCGCGTCAAACCAATTACTTGGCTTTGAAACCGTGCTCGCAATATTGCGCTGTCACCCTCAACCCCCATGATTTCACGCACTTATTAATTTTTCATAGGAACGCATTTTCTCCAGATTACCGTTGATCTCAATCAAGAATCCATTTCGGTTCCCCTTTAAAGATTTCATCGGAACTCCTCCTCAACCTCCAAACCTCATTCCCACTCGACACTCGCCTAGATGATACTATTCCTCACGATGGTGCTGTGAATCATCCGGTAATTTTCTTCGTTGCTTTCCTTCGATACTTCCTTCCACCGTATCCTTGATGACTCCAAAATTGAAAATTTGGAGCCAAGTACGCAAAAAAAGTTGGGGTTGGGGGGGATTGTTTTTTTTATTTTCTTTTACACATTTATAAATCAAGAGGAAAAGAGGATATTCGGAGGATATTCTGCGAGTCAAAAAACACTGTTACCTTCCTAATGGACCATAATCTATCAAGTGAATGCATTTACGTCGTTTATTGTATTTTGTTGTTATTTTTTTTTATTTTTTTTTCCTCTTCAGATTACTTACACAATTCCTAATAAAAACGAAACTAGGTTTGTAAGGTTTGGAAACGACCTACAGCCTACAGATTTATCAAACTGCCCCACAAATATCGAATGGCCGGGTTACCTTGAAGATGATTACACGCTTATGATGGTAGGTGCGTATGATGAATTATTATTTATCTTTCTCTTTTAAATATACCTACCACACAAATCAAGGTCTTAATATTCCACAGATCATATCATACTGAAGTGAAGTCAAAGGGTTTAAAACCATTCGAAAATGCAGGAGGTGGGTCCTCAGAAATATTTTGCAGGTACCTCATATACTCAGTTGTTTCAAGAGAAAACAATTTTAGGTAAACATTTCCAGAGCAGAGAATATTTTGGAAAAGGCGAAAAATAATTATAAGAAACTTCGGTCAATATACTGATAATTGGTGGAAAATGCTCATCATTCAAAACAGTATAAAGTGACAAAACATTTACGACGTTCCGTAGGTAGTCAAGGTGCAGTATTTTTAGCTTCATCAACGACATTCTTGTTAGAGGTAAATCACGAAAACACGAAAAATTTGTAACTTCTCTCTTATTCGGCAAATTTTTGTATACGTATTCTTATCTCAACTGTGCTGTAACGTACGAGTAAGAAACACCTGCGAGACAAATGTAGAAACCGCTGCTAAACATTTTCACCTTCAAAATGTGCTTCGTAATTTTTTCTCCTTCTTTCTCTTCACCGTTGAACTCGATTTACTCGATTATTTTTTTTATTTTTTGCTTGCTCCTGCGATTTGTTCATGGTGTATGATCATGTTAGTGTTCGTATTTTTTTTGTAGATCCAGATTCTCCGTCTCGACTAAACTCATCTCAGCGTGAAAAAATTCACTGGCTGATAGTGAATAATCCTGGACAGGTTCTTCGGAAGAAAGATACCCTTTTCGACTACATTGGTCCGCAGCCGTCCCAAGGAACAGGTAAGGCCTTTTCGCCACAATTTATTAACAACTGTTTTCCCCTTGTAAGGGAATCGAAAAATAGTACAAAGGGGCTACGAAGAAGAAGAGTTGTTGAAACATTTAAACTTGGATTGGGTCGCTATTTTAGAATTGGACGTATTTTTGTCAAACGGAACTAGGCGCCAATTTGAGTTCCTTTTGAGGAATTTAGAATACCGGGTAGCGCGTTCTGTCAAACGGAACTAAGCTCCATGGGAAAGCATTGCGAGTATAGGACGGAATGAGCACACGAAAAAGTTGTTATTATTCTTATAAGGGTCGCTTCAGAGTTTTCGGAAAGTCCTTGGAGGATTCAGGAGAAACAACTTATTTACCAGATTGTTGATTAGGAGGAGGGGTAGCCCAGTAGCTCCCTTAAAAAGCACTTTCGGAAAAAAATGTATTAGGAGAAAATAGTCTCATTTTGACCCATAGAACATACTCTTGTAGTCTGACGGTTTAATCTAAGATCACCCTGTAGAGTACTAGATTTTAGCCAGAAGCAGATTTTTGGTATTGTTAATCAAGCGTCAACTAGATCTCTCAGGCTTTGTTAAAATTGCCAGAAATACAGAAATATTTGTAGCTATACTACTTATATTGATAATGTTAGACAATTTAGCACCCATCACCATTCTTGTTTACCTTTGCACTTAAAACCTGTATGATCATAATCCTAGGCAAAGTTGTCCAATTCCATCAGAGTTCTGGGCTCTCTGAATTGATCCTATCTCTTTCTTTATACCTCTATCTTTTCCTGACAAGAAGGGGTTGGATGAAATATTTCGTACGTGTATCGTTTCAGGATACCACAGATATGTATTCCTGGTTTACGGGCAACCTAGAGCGGACATGACTTTTGATGAGCCACGATTACACAACGAGTGAGTAAGCTACACATATGTTTTCAGAGACTCAGGCACTAAAGGTCATTGAGAATACATGACTTGGACAGTGGCGATTCCGGCAAGTTGGCAACACTGTCAATATTCTATTCAAATCCATTGAGTGCATCGATTCTAGTCGAGACAGGCTGCCTCACCTAGAGTCGATCGTTTAACATACGTTTAAATGGACAAAAAACAGTATTGCCAGCTTTCAAAATTCACCACTGAACTTGAACTTGGACACAGAGAAAAATTGGATTCATTATCACAAGAAACCTTTTATCCTGGCAATTTCCTGTTCTTCTGAGGGAGGTCCTTCTTACATCAAGAAATACCTATCACCCCAATTAAAATGTTAGTTATGTCAAGGACTTTGTCGTAATGATAATCTGGTTTTGATTTAATCGTTACTGCTTGCACCTGCTGGGAGCAAATCGACGGTGGATTTCCCAAGCCCCGTATCTCATTTGCGGTGCGCTGAAAAATATCCCCTCCA